AGAAAGAGTGCATATGAAATTCTAATCACGAAAGGTGTTCCCCGAGGGGATACATACCTAGAGTTTGTTTTGTGAAGCACGTCAATTCTCTCCTGGGGAGCGTCTTCGTGAGCCTCTTATGGTTTCAGGATAGTTCAAATCCTATGATGCTCCGATTCAATGCTCACCGATGATCTGAGCCATGGGGCAAGTTTGTTTTTCTCAGAATCTTTTTTGAACATTTCGAGAGCATATGTTTGAACATTTAGAGTTATGAACATATATTTACGACAGGTAGCCTCCGAGGGGATAAATCACCATGTCGAACATTGCATTTTTGTTCCTGCCTCTCGCGTTCTCTTCTCTTCCCGCTGTCCTACCTTTCGTGTCTCCCTCCTCTCAAGTATCTCATACGTGGAGTGTTTTGGTGTTGTTTTTTTCCTTGACAAGTCCGCTTGACATCATGAGGGCTCAGAACACAGGAAAAACCAGCGACAGTGGTAGCTGAACCATAGAGGAAATACAGAATGGAACTTGGAAAGCATTTGACATCATGGAGCCATTCTGGGCGGTGGTTTCAGATATTTATTGGTGATGAGGAAGAATGGCTTTACTTGGGGATGCTATTATTAGGGAGGTGGTGGTGTTTGGATGAGGAGGAACCCACTGACTCATATTGTTTCAAGTGAGTTGAAACCATCAACCTTGGTGTAGAAAGTGTGATGGATGTGTCGTTTTTTTTGTGGAGGGTGCCGGGGGGGCCTCCACCCCCCGGCAGGGTCGGGTTCCTCACTTCCTGGTCACGCAAACTTTCATGATCTAGAGATTGAATCCTGGGTGAAGGCGTTTGACACGCACAGACTGTCAGTTCTCACTTGCCTGCGAAACTGTGGAGTCTGAGAATGTGACGCTGTACTGAATAGTCCTCGAAAGGTAGGAAATCTACACAACCACTCATCAGACCATGGCCAGAATTCTTTGTACATCACTGAATTGTATGTACTTATTCTATCGTCACCCATGTTCGCACCCTTTCCACCCCATCACCCCCCAAAAACACCCCACCTCTCCCACCTCCCAGCTCTTCGTCCTCTCCCCATTGCTGCAGGCTCGCGACTGGGAGCGTCAGCACGGGAAGAGCTGTTCCACCTCCAAGGGTGTCGGGAAGATAGGCGCCCCACGCGTGGAACGACGTCCGCTGGCGGAGACGTATCGCGAGAGAAGGCTCTCGGGAGCTCGGAGAATTGGTCGGGAGCTTTGAGCTTCAGCATGAAGGATGTTCATGTTGTTGCTATGATATCGGTGGAAGAAGGGGCGGAAGGGGGCAGTTGGAGGTGTTGTGTTTCATGCATTTCTGTGCTTTTTTGGAAGGCAATGGCCCATGGCCAAACGGTTGGATGGTTTAAAGTTTGTAAAGCAGTTTGAGAGCTGAAAGCAACCCACTGAACCATGGTTCTCTTTGGAATACTTGACAACATGAATCAGAACGATCACTACTGATTTCACCTTTCTTTCCAACCCTATGAGCTGTCCAGAAGTTCATCTCAGCCAAACCGGGCCTCCCTTCTGCGTGGCCATAACGGTTGTCTTCCGATCTCCACCGCCGATCTCCACCTCTTCGTCGGCCCACACGACCTGCTTGCCATTTCGACCGTTGCAGGCTCCACGGGGAATCGGCTCCACACGGAGCTGCTCTTCCGTGACTTCCTCCGCTCCTGGGACGAGACGAGACGCTCCGCTCCGCGAGGTCCTGGAGCGACGCGGGAGAGCGACTTGGGGTCATGGAGATGGGTGGGGCAGGATGTGGGCTGATGCTTCCAAGGTGTTTCAAGGAGAGAGGGAGGTGGGGAGAGAAAAATCCATCCAAAACCACCAAGTTCGCTCGTCAAGGGTGATAGTGATGTGGCATAAAATCTGCGATCATCGAATGCATGTTGACGTGGCATGGTCGGTCGTTTTTTACCTCCAGTGGTTCAGTGGTTCTCGCTAAACTGCGGGAGGCGTGAAACTGTGTGGCTTGCCCACTGAAGAATAGAACGACCAAAGAGTTTGTGGTCTTAAACCACTTCCATTTCGATGTGAGCTTCCGAAGTGGAATCCGCCTCCCCAAGAACATTGAGAAGTCCAAGAAGAGTGACCTTTCCCACCAGTGGTCGTGGTGAAGGGACTGCAGTGGTCGTGGTGGGAGTTCTGACGTCGACCTCATCCGACACACCCGGCCATTCTCAACGGGTTCCTTAGATCTTACTACCAGCAGTTCCATGTCGTGGTGCGGACTCGGAGGTAGTCGGGGTGCCCCTGTCACATCCACTCACTGAATGGAACTCAACACCTGGTCCAGCTGGTGGTATAGCTCTCTTCAGTCATGTGGAAGAAATCCCCCAGCCGCCCCAGGCTTTTCAGCCCTGGCCTGGGGCACCTCTCTCTTCAAGATCGGAGGCGACATGCTTGGTGGATCAATGTGGATCGTGCGGAACGGAACGGTTTGGAGCTTCTTGAGGGAATCCATCCCCTGATATCAAAAACACCTGGTGTTCCCTGCAAAAACCATCAAAAACCGGGTTTTCCCTAGCAAAAAGCATGGTGTTCTCCCTACCCTGTTTGTGGTTGACCTCAGGTCTGTCCCACTACCCGTAACAGTCAAAAGAGGATCATGTCCTGCTAGTGGGGTAAATATCAGGTGCACCATGTTGACCCTTTCATTGGGGCTTGGCCAAGAATAACAGAAGAGAGACTCCAACTACAAAGGCTTCACCTATACCAGGACCCCCAAGGAAGGGGTGGTTCATGGACACCCCGAATCACAGCTCAGGGGCTATAAATAGACACCCCACGGTGTCGGGTCCTGGTATGTTCACCTTAATCCTTGTCTATAGTGTTTCACCTGGAATTGTGCCGAAGGTCATAAGCCAGAATGGTCCCCCAAACACGACGCACAAAAGAAGCGACACAAGGGGGGGAGTGTAGTAAGTTCATGAGTGACGGAATCTGAAGCCCTAGGGCTCCAAGTCATACCTCCTTACAAGGTATTTTGGACCCTCTAAACCGACCCCCAACACCTTCTAAGAAGGTCCGACTGGAGCCCTATAGGGTGGAGCAAGACTGCTGTGGGAACTGGTCCTCCAAGCGCATTCATCCTGGTTCGATGATCAGAGAGAACAGGCCCACGGGGGCCCATATGGGTGCCACAGATGAACCAGAGATGGCGACGCACACGATGAACGCATGAAGGAAGTGCGGCATCTTTTTTCGGGATGGAAGAACAGTTGTTTCCACCTATGCTTCACCTCCTAACTCAGTGCTTCATCCTCTCAGTTTGCTCTCCAAGTCCACCTCTCTCCCCAACCAACCAACCAACCAACCACCCAACCAACCAACCAACGCAGAACGACTTCCCGCGTCTCCACTCCTTTGACTTGCCGCAGCCAGGGCCCTTTGGTGTCACGGGGATCCCGTGGCGCAAAGACCTGGAGCTCTTCGAGAAGTGGCGCTTGGGCCAGACCGGCATCTCGGTGGTCGCGGACGCGCGGGGAGCTCTGGTAGTGGTAGCTCTGGTAGTGGTAGCTGTGGGGCAAACAACTGCGGTTTTCTGGGTTTTTCTGGGTGAGCTGGATGCTTGTGAGCTGGATGCTTGGATGAGTGTTGTTTGTGCTTCTCCCTTTTGAAGCTTCTGTGCAGACCTCTACAACAGTGACGAGCTCACAAAGTTTGATGTGTGAAACATTGCATGTTGGATTGTTCACAGTGTTCAACGCGCACAGCAGTCCTTGAGTACAATCCACTGAAACAATAGTAGGTCTCTGCCTTGCTCACATGAAAGTGGAACAAAAAGAACACCCATGCGACTGAGCTGGTCCAAACGTTTGCTACGTCCAAAAACGCACCGCCAAAAGCGCTCCAACTGGAGCACGGCATCGACCGCAGATAGCGGGTATGGGGAAACAGCTTATAGCCTCAGGGAAACAATACGTTGCCATGCACAAGACGCATGTCATCCACGAAAAGAAACGATGCATACTGCATACCACAAGGCAATACATGCCTCAATGTCAGACACAATATGAGAGGATATCACCCCTGCCATGACATCAGCAGCACCCACACCAGCACGCCTACACCAGCACGCCCCAAGCACCCGCACCTGCACCAGCACGCCCAAACAAAACCATTGAGAAGTAACAACTCCTTCGGTCACGCTTTTTGAATATATGGTGGTCTGCCCTTGGCCAGAGCAATCGCCCCCGGAGGTAGTCTAAAGTACCTGTTCCCACCGTGTATTTAAAGGGTCTGGCCGGGCCCCGTATATTTAGAATGTAGATGGATCCCTGTTGACATGTCTTCTACAAAAAGGGAGAGCTTGAGGCCCTTACAGAGGGGCCATGTTTTGGGCACCTACAGAACCCGATTTTTGTAGAGAAATAAGTTTGCTTTCTGCCCAGCAACTAGGTCGATCTAACTTTTCCAACCCTCTCACAGGAAGTAGAATTCATCAAGGACTCTTAGTACTTTCAGGGCTGCAGGCTGTATGGGGAGGTGCAACACCACCAAATCAAAACCACCAGCTTCACCACCAAGACCACCAAGATCGCCTAGACCGCCGGACCCAAGACCACCGGGACCCCCAAGACCACCAAGAGCACCACCAACACCGCCCAGACCGCCACAATCACCACCAAGACCACCGGGACCACCAAGACCACAGACACACCAAGACTGGACCACCAAGGCCACCAGGACCACCAAAACCACCAAGAGCCACCAACACCGCCTAGACCACCACAATCACCACCAAGACTGCTAGACCACCAGGACCACCAAGGCCACCGGGACACCCAAGAGCACCACCAACACCGCCTTGACCGCCACAATCACCACCAAGACCACCACCACCAAGGCCACCGGGACCACCAAGACTACCAAGACCACCTAGACCCCGAAAACCACCAAGACCGGACCACCAAGACCACCAAGGCCACCGGCACCCCCAAGACCACCAAGAGCAGACCGCCACAATCACCACCAAGACCACCGACACCACCTAGACCACGGAGACCACCAAGACCACTAAGGCCACCGAGACCTCCAAGATCACCAAGAGCACCTCCAACACCCCCACATTAACATAATAGATAATAGTGTCTTGGAGGCCGCAAATATGTAATTCAGCTGACTGTATATTTAATTCGTATATTCAATCCGTTTGTGTAAAAAACAGCCAGGCTGGCAAAACCTTGCCGGAGGTAGTCTCAAATACCTGTTCACTTGAAATCGTAAATTTAAAAGCGATGGCGATACCGTATAGCTTGCAGCTATCACGGGAATAAATGTCCAGTGCTTGGCACGCCTGGCATTTTTGAATGTGCTGACATGCTAAATTGCACAGATCCAGGGTGGTTCGTGTGCAAAAAGAATTATAAGTTGAGGAGATGTCTATCAATGGGTTTTCATACTAAAAGCAAAGTTTCCTTCATCCAATGCTGTTTGTTTAGACATACTATTAACCAAGAGGCCCCAGGCCCCCAAAATACTAGGCGCCCGCTTCCTTCCGCTGATATGATGGCAGTATCGAGATATGGTGTTTGTGGAGAAATGAAGAAACAACCAACACCTTTACACTGTGACAATGTGCTGGAAAAAAAGGAACAATGAGCAATGAATGGACATAAGAGAATCTAATTAGGAGTAGGATGGAAGGATGATGTGATTGATCTGTTTCTTAGAACAACCAATGCCATCTCCGCATACCGATGGCATGGTCACACCATGATGTGGAGGGCGCGTTTGCAAATGTCAGGGATCAGGCATCGGAAGCTCACAATTTGCTTCTGAAAGCCTCTAGGGCAGTGCTTCAGTATGGCTCGCAGGCAGAGGCAAGTGGGCCTGGGACAGTGTTTTTTTGTGGTATAGGGTCAGAGTGAGACTCTGCAAGGGTAGGACTTTTGGCCATATGCTAAGGCTGCTGCATGTGCAAGTTTGGGATGTCTGTGTCTCTGTGTTGTTTTTTCCTTCATTTGCTGGTCACTGGTCAAGGTGGCTTCCTTCCGTGATGCAGTGATGCTTATCATCAAGCTGCAACACTTCAATCCGTCAAGGCCAAACAGTGATGCTCTTCGACCCCAAGCCAGAAGCAAAGGTGTTGCTGGCAGAAGTGCTTACAGCATGCAACAGCTTTACCATATGCTATCAATGCACCATGGTTTGCACTTATCAATCCCAGGTGAGGTCCCAGTCCCAGGGGCATGGATAGTGGGCACGTCATTACTGTAATGTCATGTCATGAGTCATGTGAGTCATGTGTCGTTCAAAAGAAACAATCCACGCCAATGTAGACCCAGACCAGGCCCAAAGCAGACACCTACTGTATCACCTGTCCAACACTTTTGTCTGAGGAGCATGCAGTTGCGGAGCGCATCCCGCTTCAAGTATACATTGGTGACAGCTATGCAATTGGCAACAGGAAGGCTAGAGATCAAAGAGGAGGCACGCTGAAACGACTTGTGAGCAATCACACCAATCAAAGCAGTGAGGCAATTTGTTTGTGTTTTTGTTTGTGTGGTGTTACATGCAGCTGACACTCCTTGGCAAGAAATGACAGTAGCCGCAGCCGGCTTGTGTTTTATTCAGCATCCAACCTATCTGACCCTGACCACTGACCAGTTTCCTGACCACTGACCAGTTCGACTCTTTTGCAGGTTCACGACTCTGAAGGTCCGAGCACCTCTACACTTTCCCGCGCTCGCTACAAGCTGGACACACTTGCAATGTATTTGAGGCGTTGGCAGTGGTCTGAAACTGGATTCAATCCCTACTTCATTTGCCTTTGCGCAGGGCCCAGTCATTTCAGTCATGAGGGACATGAAGGGCAATCATCAAGGGAATAAAAACAAAAATGTCAGTCAATGTCAATGTCAGTAGTATCTTTAGCCAAAAATGGTAGACAAACAGACTGACAATTAGTCATAGGAACATGGAAGCTGTGGGCAGTTGGTGGCAATTCGTGACAGTTCACTTGAGGCTATGATGCCACCAAGCAGGGACGTGAACTCTTCATTGTTGAGGAGTACACAACAAGGCTGGAAGTATAGAGTGCACTTCAACCGCCCAGCTATGTCTCCAGTTACTCAAGCTTCTCTGATATCTCCCCTGCTCACTGATGACCATGCGCATGCGCTGCGCAATAAGAGTTTTAAATAGTTTAAATAGTCTCGCGTGATCAAGACCCAGGGCCCAATAGTCCTACCTGGCCTTACTACGATTTCCTTTGCGAAGGTGTGTCGACGCCATTGACGACTTTAAAGCAGTGACTGCGGAGCAAGAGTTCCAAACAGAAAGCCGAGACACAATGGTTTCGATGCCTACATGCAAGATCCAAACACAGTGCAGGCTATTGCCACTTATCAGCATGGGGAAAGGCGCCTCCTTTGCATTACTGAGAAAAGATAACAATTGTCAGCATGGAGAAGACATTGGTGTCCAATGTCAAATGTGCAACATAACAAGTCTTCCTGGCTCCCTATAACGAAACACATAACTGCTGGGACCGGGACCCCGAACGCCCTCCTGAGTTGCCCCAGCGGATGCTGCAGCTCAGCTGCCAGCTGCGCCAGATTTTGTTCATTCGCCGCCGAGTCGCCGATTCGCTGTTGTCGTTCATGGTTCAATCAGCGGCTATCAACAGCTGATTCATCCATTCAGTCACTGCTCTACTTTTCTGCTAGGCTAGGTCTGCCACAATCTGACATTGACCATCGACCCTACCTGTTTCCGGGTCAGGCTTCAACTCAAGTAGTTGTTGTGGAAGATGAACATGGGTGTAAGTGGGTGTCGCCGGTGTCATAAAAAATCAGGGATTGATTGATTGACTCTGTTTGTGTAGTTATACTCGACCTTTGCCTCTACCCTTGGAGTCCTGGAATCCTGGAGTCCTGGTCCTGGTCCCAGCACGGGTACCAAAAAAGGATTCAACCAACCAGCCGCCCGCCGCGCGCCAGCCCCTGGCAATCTAGTTTAATAATTACAATTGTTATGTGTACAATGCCATTTGCCATGATTGAATTTTCTGTGGGCCTGGGGCATGTAACAAACCCTGGCAGCACCATCATGGAATCATGGGGTCTTCCAAATTCTTCAGCCCGGGCCCCAGCCCAGCAACCCTGTTCCTCCTTCCATTCCACCACCACCACAACAACAACTACTACTACTGCTGCTACTACTACTACGCCTGCTACTACTACTCCTGCTACTACTACTACTACTACCACCACTACCACTACCACTACCACTACCACTACCACTAC